ATTCCCATTATAGGAATGAAGCAACAGTGGTTATCAGAGGTTGTGCTTTCCCAGGTTGGGCAGCTACAGCAGGGTTTCTGAAATTCATATTTTCAGAGCATGGTGAGGTAAACATATCCTAATTCACAAGAGGCTGGTCTTTAGCATCCTTATGACCGCAAAAATTTCAGATTACATATATAGGATGATCAGCTGGCCCTGACTTGTCCAGACTTTCTTGGTTTTAGCTTTGAAAATCCTGCACCCATGAATTGCCTCAGTCCCAGTCAAACCAGGGTGGTTGGTAACTTTATATGAAGTGGTGATCACAAGAAATGAGAACAGATGCATCACAGGAGCTGAAAGGGTAACAGGAAATGAAACACAAGTAGAGGAAGAAGATCCAGAAAGCTCATTTAGATGAGGGTAAAATGATTTCTTACCTATATCAAAGAAAACTAATTTTAAGAACCATAACAACCTGACAATTAGCACTAACCTTTCAAAATTATTTATGCAGTAGAATGTATCTATAGATTTAAGATCTACTTCAATATCATGAAGTGTCTAAGAGACACACAAACTTGACTATTCAATCTTGAAAAGAAAAGACCTCTCTTAGATGTTTCATGAGAAAAAATCACAAAAGATACGGCTTGCTGTTTTAGATATCCTAAATCTCCTCTTTAGATTTTGCTCTCCTCAAAGTCCACCTCATGGAAGTGACAGTGGTTCCCAGTCTGCCCCACCACCCCACCACCTGCTATGTACCAGATTCAGTGTCCCACTGTGTCTTCCTGAGTTCTTACCTTTTCTTTTAAATTGTTCTTTTTCTTAGGTATTTCCTTCCATGCCCTTTCTTAAAACTCATATGTTTTTCCACATGAGAGAGCATCTCCATTCCCCTCTGCTCCCCTTTCCAAACCCACCCACAATAAAGAATCAAAGAAGAGAAATAGAGATGCCTCTTCAAGACAAGGGAGGAGAGTGAGGGGATGAGAAAAAGTTGAGTTTATTTTTACATAAATATTTGAATGGTGTGTGTGTGTGTGTGTGTGTGTAAATTATCAAGGTAAAATAACCTCATTACAGAATATAAAAAAAAGGGATAAGATTTTTTTAAAATGGCCTATAAATCATTTTAATAGGATTCCTTCTAGCTTAAACTTTTTTCTATATATCTGCAAATGTGCTAATAAAGTTGAAATCATGGTGCATGTATGTGGTGATTTTCAAGCTAAATATTGTCCTGTGCCATTTTGTTGTCATTAAAACTATCATTATTCTCTACCAAATATGTTATCATTAGTATATATACATATGACCTTTTCCTTGATGGAGGTTATTTTCATACAATAGATATCCACAAAGGGTATCCATTTCATCCAGTTTTTAAGTTGATTAGCATTTAATAGGATTTCACAGCTCTGTTTCCTTTTCTCTTTTTATTGTATATATTGACATGTACATGGTGTTTTGATATACATATAAGTACTGATACATATATATCTAGTGAAATGATGACTACTATCAAGCAAATTAACATACCATCATCTCATATAGTTTACTTTTTTTCTTGGCAAATTACCAGCGTATGTATGTGTGTGTGTGTGTGTGTGTATGTGTGTGTGTGGTTTTTGTACTTTTTCTTGGGTAGTATCTATTTTAGTTATTTTTAAACATCTACTACTTACATTTATTGTAATTTTTTCTTTTGAACAAAACTATGATCCTTCCCCCCAATTTTTATTTTTGCATATATTTTTTTAATAAATGAGATGTAAACAATTAAAAAATTAACTGTGAAATCTTAAGAATGCCACTTGTGTTTGTCTCTTAAGGAGAGTAGGCAGGATAAAATTAGGAAGGACCATTTACTGTTTTTAAAATATTTTTTAATTTGTTCTAATTAGTTATATATGACAGTAGAATGCATTTTGACACATGTACACAAGTGGAACACAACTTCTCATTCTTCTGGCTGTACACAGTGCAGAGTCACTCTGGTAATCATACATGTATGTAGGGTAATGATGCCCATCTCATTCCACCATGCTTCCCATCCCCACACCCCCCCTCCTCCCCTCACTCCCCTCTGACCAATCCAAAGTTCCTTCATTCTTCTCTAACCCACCCAGTCCCCATTATGGATCAGTATCCACTTGTCAAAGAAAACATTCATCCTTTGTTTTTTGGGGTTTGGATTATTTTGCTTAACATGATATTCTCCACCTCCATCCATTTACCTGCAAATGCCATATTTCATAGGACCATTTACTTTTGAGTGACCAGGGTTTTTATACACATGGATGTCTTACAGATCAACTAAGACACGAGTTTGCACCCCTCATTTAGACCTGCAAGAAGCCTGCACCAGCATTTGCCATCCCCAGGATTATACTAACACGGTCTTTTTCTGGAGAACTGAGCTGCTCATTCACGATAAATTAAGGGCATCTGATTTGCCTGTTACATGCCCAGTTTTCCTTGGAAACAAGCCCTGGAAGCTATTTTTTCTGATCAATCCTAACTCTCCTGTTAGTGGTTATAAAAGAGAAAAACAACATCTACTCATGGTAAAGACTGAATTCTAACCATCATAAATCTTATCAATTGCCTTGTGAAGGTTGCGGGGGTGGAGGAAGAAAAAGAATTCATTATATACTCACTTAGCTAACATCTGGACTGATGTTCCTACCACTGTTGTAAATGTTTCTAAATTTCTAGGATTGGCACAGATGAAAACATAAGCAGAGGTAAAGTTGGGAACCTGAGAAACTCCTTGATGAATGAGTGTTTGCATTATTAAGAAGGGCCAGTGACATTAAATAAAGAAAACTGTTACAGTTTATAGTTAATGGGAAATACTAGAAGGCCTAACATCTCCTTTTTATTTTTGGCTTCAGTTAGGTGCTTAATACAGAATATATATTCCATATAATCTCTTGGTTCATTGATTGAAGAGAGATTTTTTTTCCTAAAATAATTAAGATAAATGAAAACTACTTTTATCTAAAATGTGGGCCAACATATAACCATTTTCCATAGGTTGAAATATAAACTTTTAAACAGGTAGTTGTTATTTTCAACAAACACTTCTTGAGTGTCAGTTTTGTGCTGGTGTTCTCCCAAAGACAGACAGAAGTGAACAGTGTGCCAGAGGTGACCCAGATGACCTGCCACCAGCTCTACATGCTCTGGGTTTTGATGCTGTTCCTTAACCAACCCGGCCAAGGAGTGTGATCTGATAGAGGGCAAAACAGACAAGGGACAAGGATGCTTGCTCTTTGGGCTCCCTTTGGGGTTCTTTCTTTCCTTTACTTTATGGATTTATTCTTAATTAACTTTTTTATGAATGTCATAAATAGCACATAATAAGCACTTGAAAATGTCTATTGATAATGAAGAATGGTTATAGAAAAGAATATATTTCAACCTATGGAAAATGCTATGAAATGTATATTTTAACCTATGGAAAATGACAGATGCTCCTAACAGCATTGCCTAGAGCCTGCACTTGCCTAAGCTAATCAACTTTGAGGCTAAGAATAAGGCATGTTTCTTCTCTTCTTCCCTTATTTTTTTCTTTTTAAAACATCAAGTAAAAGACAACCAAAATCAAAAACAAAATTTAAAACCAGCAACAAACAAAAACAGCTTTCTTTCTGGAGTCAACCATTTGGCTTTGAATATTTTTGAGATGTCCCTGTAAGTCCCAAGGAGCAGCTGCAGCCACACCACCACCTAGAACCCAGCCAGCTGACAGTTGCCAAGAGTTGGCAATGCTTGGGGTTGTGATGTGTCTAATTACCAAAATTATAAAGCCCTTATCATGCTTTGAAGACACTGTGTGGTCCATTGAATTGCATGTAATAAATTCACTATTATGAACATAAAGAGGTAAATTATTTTCAATTGCAGATCTTTTTGACCCCAGTGAACACTAAATAAATGTTAAACACAGGTTTATCAGTGCTGATTTAAAGGCACTCCCCATTATTAATTCTTTCCAGACACTACTTGGTGAAAAGTGACTTTTTCCTAGTTTCCATTCATTCAATCTTGTCTTTCAGATTCCTGCCTCCTCCTCCTCCTCCTCCTCCTCCTCCTCCTCCTCCTTCTTCTTCTCTCTCTCTCTCTCTCTCTCTCTCACACACACACACACACACACACACACACTTTTCTTTTCCTCTCACTGAAGTTTTGCAAGAGTCCTAAAAAAGGAGATTCAATAGGGAGGTAGATCATTTCTTCCTCCTGCTGTTTGGCGTGTAGGTCAACTAAAATCAGTTTTTCCACAATTCCCATAAGCAAGTTTTTCTCTCACAGAAAATCCACAGATGAAACAGTAGGTCCTCCAGAATACTGTGAAGCAGGAAACAGGGTCCTATGTCCCTCCACTGGGTCCCAACTCTTTTACCATCACTTCCTCAACTTGTCACCAAAATTTTGCCGATTTAGTTTTTAAACAGCCATAGCCATTTGGGGTATGGTTATATGTGGATATTAGAACTTCAGTACTGTCCTACGACAAAAATATCATCAGTGTCCCCAAATGTTGCTCAGTGCTCCTCAAACTTATGAAACAAAATGCAGAAGTGTTACTTGTTTGTATTGTGTGCACCTGGGAAGTTACTCATGCTGAGTAACAGTACAAAACTTGAGCTGCCTTGCTTTCTGCTTCCAGGAATGCCAATCAGAGAACATTCTTTTTCAGGCAGCCAAGTTTGGAAGTCAGTTGGTTTCTGGCAGTGAGTAGGGGGAGGGGCTGGCAGGGGAGGCACAGTGAGTCCTCTGGCTGGTCTTTCAGCTTCCAAGTGTTTCCGTAATAGCCATCAACGAAGGCATCTCCTTTTACCCACGCAGAGACAGGTAAAAAAGACAGCTGAGTAAATCAGCAATAGATCAAAAGGCGGAAGCTCAGTTGGAGGGCGGGGGTGAGGGAGGGCGTTTGAAAGGCTGCCATTGGTGAGCTTACCAAAGGCATCTGCCAGTGGGACTTCAGTGGAATGTGAAACCAAATCATTTTCAAGTTAAAGATAGACACAGTGCACACCAGGATCTAGGAGCTGGATTTCAAACTCATATCTGTCCCTAGGATTTCAGGGAGTTCTGTTATGATCTCTGCGGCAATTAACAATTTGGTTAAAATTTGCTCTTCCAGTGAATGTGCTAAGAATTCATGTAAGTTCTGGATGTACTGGAATTAAAAGGATTAAGAGATCATGGTGTATGCACTCTAGGGTAAGTGAAAAGATGGGCTTTAAGGTGCATCCTTTCTCTGGGAAGGTTAATACTGATTTTTTATTGGTGAGAATGAAAAGCCAATCATGAAGATTTTTGTAGTTTTGCGTGTAATTTGCTTACCTTTTTGAGATAGTTGGTATTGTGCATGCTGTGTAGCAGAATGAAATACGGTATTTGAGTTTAGTGTTAAAATTTACATTGCAGGTCTGTAACTACAGTTTTCCTGTACCCTTCTTAGTTTTTATCCTCTGTTAACCCTTATACACCCTGTGTTAATATTGAGTTACAGTACCAGTAGTTCTCTGTTGCTACATACACGGAATGTTACTGTGTTCATTATGTCACTGGATGAAACTGTATTATTGTGAGATGGAGTTCTATTTCCCTTGTATGTTACTACACACTTCCTAATTTTAAAATGAAAAAAATATTTTTCAAGAAAAAAAAAGGGAGGGGAAAGGTGAGCTTTAAGAGTGGTCTACAAGTGCATAAGAAGCTACTAGAAAGTTTTCTGTTTTTTTTTTTTTTAAAGCAGCTGAGAAAAAAAACCACAAGCAATTTTCAGTGAAGAGAACAATTTATTAATAGAAGTTATTTTTTGGTGTTACCTCATTAATTCCAAGCAGGTTCCCCTTCCAGAAGAGCTGATATTTGCTAAGTGAATGGAGGCGTTCTGATTATAGAGAGCTTGAGAGAAGAGGAGGAGGAAATGGGTTGTCTAATTCTAACTCTTGCTGTGCTGTGTTTCTGGATTTTTTCATTAAAGAGAGAATGACAAACTTGAGTTCTTCATGTTTTGCCCATGTATAGATTTTGTTTCTTGTTCTGTCAAGTGACCGCTCCCTCTGCTCTTAGTGACATCTTTTCCAAACTTGCACAGCATTCCTGCTGAATAAATAGTGTCCATAATAGTCAGAGTACATGGTGTGAATTGGAAATTCTACTTTATATGGGGAAAATAAATGTGCTGACGCTCTTATTACAGAATGTGGGGCCAAACAGTTGTTAAATGTAACCAACCAGTTTTTACACTATCAAAGAGAACAGATTCAAATGAATTAAGTTGACTCAACTAGGTACAAATAATGAATGACTTAATATGGATCTTTCACTCAACTTTGCTAAGGACGAATAATATGCCATGTTAATCTTTTAAGATAAAAAAAAATGGACATTATCTTGATAGAGCCACTTGATTTTTACAACTACTGAATGATATGACAAGTCCAAACAAAATGTGAAGTTGGCAGAGCTCAGGTTTGGTCTCCCTCCCTCTTTCTCTGCCCACTATCCCCTCCTCCTCCCCCTCCCATTTTCCTCCTCCTTCCAGATCCTGGAGGAGAATCATAGCTCAGTACTGTTTTTTTTTTGTTAACAGTTGAGACCTGTCCTTAAGGAAGAATCTCACTGTAGTGTGTTTTAAAGTTAGAGTACTAAATTCATCAGGAATATTTGCATTTCAGTATAAATGCCTAATCTTTGAAGAGCTTAAGTATTTCTTAAATCATGGCTAACCCTTAGTAATACTTGGAATTAACTCATTAGGTTGTAAAAAATGCAGCTAATTATCCTATGAGTGGATGGTACCTTTGTAAATTTCCCCTGGTCATATCAGATGCCTGGGGTTATTGCACTACCAGCTGTGTCCTGAATGATTGACATTAAAAATGCACCTGGAAGAAAAGCGCATTCGAGTAGTTTCTGAATGTATACACCTGTACAGAGTACACAGACACATGTAGGCATAGCTTTTACTTAACTAATATGTTTCTCATTCAATTATAAAAATAAACAAGTATATCAGCCTTATCAGAATGGGATTTTATGGGTTTTTTTTTTTTTTGGTTTGTTTTCAGTGTGTCAAAAGAAAAATAATACAAGTATAAAATTCTAAAATGTAAGAATTTTAAATCATGTGGCCAAAGAGTAAAAGAAGCAAATATTTGTCTGCTGTATTATGTTACCTTTATAATTTCTAGCTCCCTGAAAATTGTCAGGCTTGGCTTCTAGTAAAGTTATTAAACATAGTAAAAGTAGCTGTTATATAATATTGTCTGCTAATTATAATATTTCAAGTGTTATTGGATTTGTTTCTATTATTACCAATCCTGCCATTTCTCACTCAGAGTGTCTTATGTTCTTGGTAACCTGGATATTTTTGGTATAGGCTGGAAATGTATCTTAAAGCATGTTTGTAAGAGTAAGTGGAGGCATAATGAGGAGTGTGTTCCTCCACAGAAGAATTGGGTTTGCACCCACCAGGCACCTGAGGGCGATCTCAGACCAGAATCACCTTAGATGAAGTATAACACCTAAGGCTCCTAGAATCACAAATGTGACAAGAAACAAAACTGAACATCTGTGCTGCTTTTGTTTATTTCAGGTTCCGTCACCTAAAGAAAGTTATGGCCTTTGGGGATCCAGATGTGAAGTTAGATTACTTAGTGAAAATTCTTACTTAAGGGATTTCTCCATGAGCCCACCAGTCTGCCCAGAAATAAAGTTGTTTTCTCAGGTCTTTTTTTTCCTGATGGTCAAATACCCAAGGGCAAACCCTTTTAAAACTGAGCTTACCTCTCTGACCTCTGATTCCCCTCAAAATTTTCATTTTCTAAATTCTCATCATCTTATTAGTTCTTTGCTATTTTTATATTTCAAATAGTTTTACTAACCTGGCTAGGTGTGTTGGTCCAAATTATTTGACTACAGTTACAAGAGATGGAAATTCATTCTACTACTTATATAATCACTTTTTTTTTTTTTTAACTCCTTGACTTAGAGACAAGAGATGGTCTGCTTATATTACTAGTGATTTCAGGTAGTTTTTCTGATGTGTTTTTCTTTTTCTTTTTTTTTTTTTTTTGTCATGACCTGATTTATTTAGACTTTGGGAGAGAAATTGCATATACATGCTGATTGAAAGATATGTGTTTTCCAACTTGATGTGAGTGTCCACAGTATTTCACATTTCATTTCTTTGATCCTAGCTGGCCACCCTCCATGGTAATCTCTTTAATCTCTCATCAGTCCCACTACTGTCACTCTCAGCTGTTGACCTTGACTCTTCCAGCTTTCTTTTGGCCTATGTTTAGTATCACCACATTATTAAAAAAAAAAAAAAAAAAAAAAAAAACTTAAAAAAAAAATCTCTTCCGTTCTTTTCTCTTTGCAATTGCTCTCCTTCAGGTCTTCATCCTCTTACTTGGGGATTGCTATGGTCTCACAGTTATTTGTGTGCCTCTGGGCTCCATTCACAATGCCACCCCGCCCAACTCACATCTCCTGCACTCGAACCAACACAGATATCTTCTAAATATCATAGACACCAATGATTACTTAAAAATGTTCAGTGGCTCACCATGAGCCTTCAAAATAAAGCTCCATCTCCTTGGTATGTCCTCCAAGGTCTGTTACAAGCCTGAACCCGTTTCTCTAACATTGTCTCCTTTGCTGGTTATCTTCATATTTCACTCGCATGGAACTACTGCCCCCAGAACATGCTCCATATTGTTATACCTCTGTGCTAATCCATCCACTAATTTCATTTTTCCCAGAATGCCTATCGCTCCTCTCCTTTGTGGGCAAACCCTTCTTCTCCTTCAAGGTTGACCTCATAAGTCACCTTCACTGTATTTTTCCTTAATTGCATAGTTTACCTGCTATTCTAGGAGCCTCTAATGACATGGATTGTGTCTTACTCATTTCTGTATGTTCAGTAACTGATACATAGAAACCACTTACTATATGATTAAGGAATTAACAAGCAATTACTCTGAGAAACTTTTCCTTCAACAATTGCTTTTTTCTTTCTTTTGTTTTACTCTTTTTCATTCTAAAAAACCATTACTCTTAATCTTAGAATCCTTGTCTAGTGACTCTCTGTTCTATAACTTGAAGTAGTGTATGTCAGGTAGAATCACAAGAAACAGGTTTGTCTGGTGGTTGTCATTGTTTTTGAAGAGGGGATAACCTATTTTTTTCCTTTTTTAATTTTTCTTTTTCCAAATGAGACAAACTTATGAAAAGAGACACAGTAAAAGTTTAAGTTTGGTGAATCAGCTGTGTATTATCAGAGAGATTCTTAATCAAAAGGCAGTTATAGTGTGGGGAAACTGGCGTATTTCTACAAATCTTGTTCAGAATGTTGGATAGCATAACAGGAAAGAGTCCATGAGACACAACTAAATTAAATTATTTCACTACACACAACCTAAATCTCAGCCATCAAAAAACAGTGGATTGTTTACATATCAGTGTGGTGCTAGAAGGAAAACAGCTGATTGTTTATGTAATAGGACCTTGGGACCCTAAGTCTTAAAGCTGGATGAGATTTTTCTCTTAAAAATGTTGAGACCTCAAAGTGTAACTTTGATCTCATTTTACTGGCAGCAAATAATGATCCATTATTAGTTAAAAATTGAATATAGCTTGTGGGAACCAAAAGAAGTAGAATACCTAGGTGATGTTATAAGGATGTTGAATTGATTTTGTATTTGGGGGACCACTTATAAATTTTTCATCATATATGTATTGTGTGCCTTTGTTATGCCCACTTATGAAATTTAGAAAAAATTTTAAAAGTTGGCTTATACTATTTCTCATATAGGACTCTCCTATCTCCATAAAGAGCAAAGACTGAACACTGATTGAGCCAAAAATCATCTTTAAAATTTTTTTTGTAGTGAAATATTCAAAGTTTATGTTTAAACGGAAGCCAGAATTTTCTATCACAAAATATGAAAATATGATGTTGACCTTTTTTGTGTTTCATCTATAAAAGACTAACTCTTAAATACTGGTGATTAAATCATTACTTCTAAGTAGCCAAGTAATTTGATTCATTAATTCAGTTATTCAGGGTCCTGTCTTGTGCCTTACTAGGCAATAAAATTACGTCTTCACCCCCTTTTCTGGATATTTAAATTGAAAGATATCAAGTTTTTTAAAATGGTCTTGATTAGCTTATTTATTTATATATTCTTTCACTTATTTTTATG